GGGTTTTAAGATTTGATCTTGGGGTTGTGAAACTACGGCTTCGGGTTTTGGGGGTTTCGAGTTTAAGGCTTGCTGTTCTGGGTTTGGGTGCTAAAGAAAAGGCAGGAACCAGCTTCGGGCAGGTGTGTCTAGATGGATGTTTCGAAGTACAGTCTAGGCGTCGTTTGCACGTGTACCTCGATGGTTCCATCCTCGTATCAAACCGTTTCCATTGTCCGCGTCACCAGTTTTGATCTTGGTCTTTGATGTCTTTTCGGTGGAAGGAGCTTGAGGAGACTGAGACAGCACATGCTCATAGCATTCACGTGCAAATGGTGGAAAGCACTCAGAGGCCCGGCGGGAAGAGCTTTAATCTTGGACGCCACAAATTGCTACTCGGCTCGTCGGTAGTCGGGTGATTTCGGGAGGAAACGGAGGTCCCAAGCCTGTGGCATGGGGTTCCTTGTGGCTTCAGGTTTAAATGGACATGCGATAAATACATATATATATATATACATATATATATATATGTATATACATATATATATATATATATACACCTATATAAATTTAATGGAATAGAACACAATATATTAAGGATATGTATGTGTATTATATATAAGGTGTAAAATATGCATACATAAATGTGCCGTTGAAACACTTCTTGTGTGGGTGATGGCTCCGAGTAGCCACCGCTCCAGGACCTTACATCACACTCTTGACAGGATCTGAGAAGAATCTGTGCTAGGGTGTCACACAGTCGGATGCCGGATTGGTGATACGGGTTCACACAAGTCGCAGCTGCTGCCAATTGCTGTAGGAGATCAAAGCTTCAGATAGGTGACCTGGCTTTCGGTTCTTCGGGCACAGTGTGGATGTCGCATGGTGCATGCAGGGGCCTTCCTGAAGAAGTTGTAGTGAGCGCGAGAATCCTGCAGCCACGCCAAGGATACGTCAGGTTCAGGCGTCCGTCATCCCACTCTACGGCCCCTCGCCCTTGAATATCTGTCGCCCAGACTCTCAACTCAGGAAAATTCCACAACCTGCGACAAGGGCTCAAGGTTGGTATGCAGCTACCTAAACCGGGCATTCGGATGTTTTCAGGCTGAGAATTTCCTGTGTAACTTCAGTGGACGAGCTCTCCGAGCTTCGGGAAGGCCTCTGCTGACAGCCACATGAGGATCGCTTAGCCAACGAGGTGATGCAGCAATCGAGAATCGAGCTGCAGCCACCCTAGAGCAAGGACCTGAATTTGTAACCTTTTCATCTCGTCTACCTGCCGGAGTAGGGTCCTCCAAGGATGCTTCATTGCCTTCAGGATATGCACATCCCTCGCATCCTCCTCGTCATAACCATCATCATCAGAGTTCAGAGTTTGCTGGAGTTGAGGTCTTCAAGGGCTCTGGCTGATCGACTGGGTCGAGAGACCCGGAACCCTCAAACCCTAAGCACTGATCCTTAAACTCTACACACGAATCCTTCAGAGCATGACGAGGCAGGAGAACGGTCCTTTTGTCCATTTCAAACTCCACTCCCGCGATTCTTGAGTCGAAGACAAGAAGGGACCATCATGTTCTCAGGAGGCTTCTCTTCAGCGCCACCTGAGACCGTGAACCATGCCTGCGCTTTTTTCAGGAACTGAAGTGGAACTTGACCGAAATTACGCCTCAGCAGCACGCTCCCAATCCATGCTCTCCCAAAGCCAAAACCCTACTGCAGACACCTAAAGCGTTTTGGTGTCATCTGTTGCTTGCAGGTTTCGACAACTCCGAGGAGGGCGTGCAGCTGATGCTCGAAGCCTTCACCTGCTTTCAACAAGATCCGGACATCCAGGCCCGGGTCGGGGGAAGAACTCCGGAAAGCTTCCTGCTCTTGTCTCTCCTCTGCCCAGGGTATATCATCACTGAACATCCTTACGGATGTAGGTTTCAATGTGCATGTCTTGGAGATCGTTTCAATTCACAGTCGTGTAGTTGATGTTCTTGCCTGGAGCTTCTCTCTGCGGGGGCTTCCAAGGCTGGATTCTTCATAGTCTAGGGTTTAGGATTCAAGTATTGGGCTTCAGTCTAATACGGTAGTCTTAGGCTTGAAGTTCAATCTGCGGCCATTGCTTTCAGACCCGGTAGCCTTCAGCCTGAAAATGCACAATCGCGAACCTCCACACCCAAAGCCGCCACACCTCAAAGACCCATCACAACCCCAAACTCTCAAATCGTAAATCCTGAGTCCTAGTCCGCTCCACAGTGGCAGCCCCTATATGAGCCCCTTTATGATCAGATACTATGGCACTAAGAACCTACACGAGTCCCATGTCGCAACTGTTGCTACAAGAACGTTTGCTTCACCCATGGATCTCTAGATCCTCCAGCAAAAGTCTTGGCAGCAGATGGGCGCCGTGCAAGACAACGCCTGTCGTGATCGTGTTGTGTTCAGGTCAACGCCGTAGCCATCAAGGATCTTCTTTCCCTGGATGCGCAAGCACCGGCGGACAAGGTGGCCGCTGGCTAGCGTGGGGGATGTGATGCGGCCACGAAGTTGCAGGGCGTTGGCTTTCGTGGGCTTCCCGAATAGCCAACCAACATAGCACGTGACTAAGGTTTTGAAAAAGTTTCATTTTGGTGCTGACCACATGTCCTTCAGTCCTACTCATGACGTTTGCCTTCTGATTCAAACTCTCTTGGAGAGCTCAAGATTTGGAGGGGCCTGAGCATCAAGTAGTGATACTGTGCTTTCTCATACTATTACCCCCGCAAGCCCCATTCCAGTCATTGAGGCCCCTCTGTTACACTGATTGCTCTCTTGCATGTGAGCACTGGCCCACAGGCGAAGAGGAGGCTCATCCAGAAGCCTCTCACCAAGTTCGTGATGCTCGACCTGCCCCACGCTGGCAGATTTCATGCATCGTTGCTGCTACCGGCACAGACAAACCCCTGAGTCACTGGTTTCGTGATCGAAAGCCTGACATTCGCACACCCTCCTCGGCTAGAGTTCGTGCAGTCCCTTCGTTAGGGCCGCAGGCTGGCAGGCAGTCCCTGTGACTGTCTCACCAAGGCTCCGGGCCCAATTTGTGGAGTTCAGCAAGGCGCCCTTCCAGGCGCTGGGGGAGGGTTTCACTTGCCTAGGGGTTCAGGTGTTCGAGGGCTCAGGGCTTTGATTCATGGTTTTTTTAGGATGTTATCGGGATCAGGGTCTTTCGCTGTTCGCGCGTTAGGCTTTAAAAGTTTTGGGGTTCAGGGCTTCAGTGCAGTTGCTTTTCAAAAGGACAGTCCAAGTCCAGGCTGTGGTCTTTCGTCAGCGTTGCGTTGGTTGAAGGTTTCGAGTTTCGGGTTCTTTGGTTCGAGATCTTCTACCAATGCCGCGGTGAGCTTGAGGTCCACAAGCAGAGCTTGGCATGCAGGAAGCACCGAGACAGGGGGAAGAGAAACACCTGAGCAAGACTCGAGCATGGGCTCTATGGCCCAGAGCATCCGATGGCGCTATGGCAAGACACCGAATTCAATTCCTCTCCCATCGCGACCTGTACACGAGGTACTCCTGCGATTTCTCCAAGTTCTTGAAGTCCTTGTGTCCTCAGGCCGATGTCAGGAATCTGAAACACTGTGCCGACGTCATCGCAGGTAGGGCCACTCTGCGGCAACAGAATTTTGATGCAGAGAAGCGTGGGCATTGCATAGGCGATGGGTTTTGAAGATGTGTTGGGGCACCTTCGCCTTAAAGTCCAGCTGAACCCTCAAAGAACCGGATGTACGGCCGACATTCTCGAAGATCTCGGGCAAGCCGCTGAGGTGGCGCGAAAGGAGACCGCGGGAGGCACCAGTGCAAGGGAAAAAGGTCTACTACTTCCTGGTCTTGTCATTGGCGATGGCACGGGGGCTTCGGTCATAGCTGCGGCGGTTTTGCTGACGAACAGGATAAGCATGACTAGCCTTGCCGAAGCATGAAAGAAGCTGAGTTGGCCAAGCCATCTCGGCAAGGGAAACCCGAAGACCAAGAGGGAAAGCCCGCAACCCTTAATCTCAAACCCTCAAACCCGACAATCCTGAAGCCTCGTCCCTCCAGGTAGCAGCGAGGATCCGGATGGTTATTTTCACCTCAAGGGCCGTGCCTTGACTGGGAAGCTGCACAGAGCGCAGCTTTTAGCGGCCGCCCAAGCGTTAAACCCGAAGCTTGCGACCCGAAATTTCAAACCCTGCACAAAGAAAAAACCCTAGATCCGAGACTCGAAGCCCTAAATCTTTCGTGTTCTGCATTGGGGCGACATGGGCACCGCGGGCCCGAAGGCATTGGACTGAGATGAGGGTTGGAGATGAGTCCTTCAGGGCCTAACATATGGGTCTGAGAAATAACTAGCAGTGGTGTTGCATCGAGTTCGGATACCCTAGTAGAACCGCAGCATAATCACTAGAGCCCACAAAAACTACCCAAGCGTCTATTCTAGAGAGAAGTCACGGCTTTGGGGTTTTCGATTGTGGGCTTAAGAGGTTCTATAGCTATTGGGGCTCAGCACGTGATGAGAAATCTTGACAGATTTCCTGTTGAAAGGGTCGCCGAGAAACCAATCAGCTTCAAGAGCCAATATAGGGGTCTTATATAATAATGACCGGACCTATACTATCTTGGGGTTCCTCGCTATAATTATAGTATAGTGGGCCCCTAAACCCTTTTTTAAGCCTGAAGACTGAAGCCGCCGGACTAGGAATTTCAAAGGTCGCGAGCTCGCATTGATCGTGCAACAGCTGCTGCTTCCAGAGTACGGGTTCGCCCCCACGAAGGCGGGAATTTCAGGAATTGATAGAGCGTACTACTTGGCTACTTGGGTCTTTGTCTGGGTGCTGCTTGTGAGCGTAGTTGAAGAACTTCGCCGAGTCCGAGACCATGTCGTTGTGTTAGGCATTAGGCCAAGGGCTCGTCCGCATTTCATCTAATTAGACAGCGGTTTGCTCAGTCAAAGCAGCTGGCGATCCTGCCAAGTATGTAGCTTGGGATTGACTCAAGAGCTAGCTTGCTTGCTCCTGCTCCCTTCCTGCTTCCCCTTGGTTGCTGCCTACCAGTACCGATCCAACTTTGAGATCCACGGCTGAAATCCAGGGTTCCTCGATCGTTTCCTTTGGAAGCTTCCGTTTGCTTCTTCCGGAGGAGGGGGTGCTGGACATGATCCGCTGCAGCCTCGGAGATCAAGATCAGGTTTAGAGTTTAGGGTCAACCCTTCGTGCACAAATACAAAAATACGAAAGTATTGGGGATCAGGAGGTTCAGGTTCTTCGGACATGTCGTTCTCCTGATCTGCGATTTTCTTTTCTGGGCCTGGGGCCGGCTCCCCAACCCAAGCCTGTGCTTGAAGCCGAGGGCCTTAGCGAAGTCAGCGTTTGGCTTTGGTTCAGGGTTCAGCGGGTTCAGGGTTCCAGTTGCATCATGCCCAAGAGGGGATCACCGAGTTAGAGCGGCCCCTACCATTGGGGTATAGACATGACTGGGAGGAATCCTTCCTTCTGCACTGCAATACAGTGACAGTACAATACAACCCAAACCTGTCCACCCTCCAAGAATGTCGCTCAACCCAGATTTCTTGGGCATTCGCTCGATTTGTCGTTCCGACAGACCCCTGTCATGGGTGCCCCCTGTATAGACCCTGTCACAGCATCATAGGCCCTGTCTGCCCTGCCTGCCCCACCCTCGCCCCCACCATCAGCACAACCCCCAGCATCCTCCCCCGCCCTCGTTTCTTCGCGGCATTCGCCGGGAGTTTGCAGTCTCAACAAGGCGGGGGGGTTGGGGGGGGGGGCGCGGCCCCCCGCTATTTGCAAACATTTCCAATCTAAGTTTTCGTTTTTCCTCGCTGTACATCACAGATACGTCTGGCTTTCGCCTTCAGAAGACTTTTCATGTATACGTTTTCGTGTGGCAGTCACCTCTATGTGTTAGGTAGCCTATGCCTCGGGAGTTCTTTACCGCTTATACTTATTTTCTTTTTATTTGTTTGTATGCTACACGCAGATAGACAGATAAGAATATACATATATATATATATAATACATATTACATATACACATATATATATATATACATATACACATACGTACATACATACATACATACACACACACATACACGCACACGCACTTTTCGTTTGAACGCCACTGCGAGGTCATTGTGCGCAATTTCTTGACGATCCGGAGGTCCAGAAGCTCCTCGACCAGATAAATGAGAGACTTGCCTGAACATGGAGGAAAGGAAGGTCTTTTTTAGGGGCTTTTGGTGGTTTAGAGGATTTAAGGGTGTTTAGGGTTTAGGGGTCGAGGGTTTAGGGTTTGGAGTCTTTAGGATGTCGGGCGCGGGGCGAGGGCTGGGAATGCACGGTTTGGGGCGAGGCGTGCTGCCTGCCCTGATAGCGGCACTCCATGGCCGATACACCATCTCATCATCTAAGCACCAAAATACTGGGGCAATTCTTGCAAGAGAGAGCCCGAGGAAGCCAATGTAGCCGCAAACCCTGGCTAAAAACCCCAAGGCCCCATGTGTCTTTCAAACCTTTATAATCCACGGAAGCCCCGGCAATGCCCAGCATTCGTTCTGCGATGCTGAGGAAGCTCGGGATGTCCCCAGCAGCCTGCAAGCGCTTCCGCAAACTGCTGACGGCTTGAAGACTGGCATCGAGAGGAGTTGTAAGAGTGCCCGTTTTAAGCTTCTTGGCTGGTGGCGATTTTGTCGTTCGGGATGTTTGGGTATATGGGCAAGCAACCAGTCTTTCTTGGGGTTTATTTAGACCAGCAGTAGTCACAGCTATATACGCCAAGCAGAAGTCTTCCAAAACCCTTCGCGCCCTCGCGCCAGCACCAGCCAAGAGATCTGGGCGCGTCTCGAAGTCGTCCTTTTGCGGGGTTTGAGGAGTCTGTTGAACTGTTGCTGCTTTTGCTGCCTCTGACCTCTCAAGGCATAGCTTCGCCCGAGATGCGCCCCATCCCGCGAATTCCCGTAGGCCCAAACTGCCCCAAAACAAAAAGGAGGCGTGTCGAGGCTCAGGTGCAGCAGCGCGAGACTGAGAGTTTGGCGGTTGGCCCGTTTAGGGCGACCTGGCCCGGAGCAAGAAACCGGAAGAAGAGCGGAGGGGATACAGTACATAGTTCCTCGTTGCTCATTCGGGGTCCTAGCTGTGCAGTTTTGCTTTGTACATGTTTTTTAACCTTCTCCTTGCGCCTGTATGGTTTTCGTTTCACTCTGAGTTCAACTGTTGAGACGGTCATTTCTACGGTGTCTTTGTGTTCGGCATTGCGTCTCGTTTTCTGTCACTATGTGCAAGGAGTTGAGTTCTTCGTCATCTGGCAATGCACACCTGCATCCTTGAACTCACCGGATTCTTGCTCTGCTCTCCTGAAACGGGCAGGCAAGACCTCGCTCGTAGACTTGAACAAGGCCATCACAAGCGGTGTTATTGGCTAGGTTTTGATTAGCAATGGTTTAGTTGAGGCCTTGGGTTGAGTGATGACAGCTGCTGGCAAATGTTGCTGCTGTAGATTTCATGTTAGAAAGATCTCAGACATGATAGTAGGCTACTTACCGCAGCAACATGTGGTTCTAGTGCGTTGCAGCGTGACTTTCTCCCAGCACCTTGCTTTGGCATTCTGGCCTTGTGAAAGTCGGAATGGAGCCATGTCTGCGCCCTGCCCCAAACTGTGTGAATCTATGGCGGGGTTCCTTGCTTCTGGAAACCCTTGTGGACAGGCGCGGTGAAGGTCTATCTCCGGTGTCAGAATCTCAGACTCCCCAAAACGAAGCCAAAGCCCCATACCGACAAGCATCCTGAATCCTAGACCTTGAACCCTTAACCAACAAGAAATCGGAGAGACATCACCGGGCACACTTATGTGCTCCGAGGGTCTGACTTCGAGCCTCTTTGAGAGCTCCGGCTCCGAGGTCGTAAAGAGGGCCTTAGGAGGGTTTTTGCAGGGGGTGTAGAACGGGATCGTTATCTTTTGGGGGTGCAGGGTGTGGCACGTGCTGTGTAGAATGTCGATTCTCGACATCCACACACTTCAGCTGGCAACTTCGCAATCCGGTTTCACGTAGTCGTTCGGGCTTGGAGTGCTTGGCTTCCTAAGCTGTGATGGATGTAGCTGGGGTTGATTGAGAGTTCAGGGTCTGACACCAAGTCCAGCCGTCCAGCTCAGGGAGGATGAGAAAGGTCATAAAGGGTGCGGAGACCCGGCATGGAGGATTCGAAAGCCTCGAACTCTCGGCTGCAGTTTTCCAGATTCTGGCTTCCTGGACCTTCTGGCTCCCCGAACCTTCGAAGGCCCGACGGCACCAACCCTCACTAACCCTTGCTTACAGAGTTTATGCCTTCCAAGTCAACTTCCCAGTCATCCCCGAAAACCAGAGTGGGCCACTCCAGAGAAGTTGCTACAACGACTTCGCTTGGGGGGGAAGGGAAGACTGCAAGCTTCCATGCCTGAATACTGTTGCTGGGTTTAAAAGCTTTTGGTCTAGTGCGTCTAGTTCATTACATTGGCAGCGCGCACACATGTCTACACATATGCATATATATATATATATGTACATACAACTATTTGGTAGCCCCACCCTATTGACCCACCTTCTCTTTATTTCAATCCTGTATATTCTGTTGAACTGTGTCAGCTAGCTACACGTCTCATATCATGCATAGCTATGCATATATGTGGCGCCAGGGGTTATAAGCTACAGCACACTAGAGTAAGAGACATTAGATATACTGTGAGTGCGTGAATCATAACAATGTTGAAGCAGAGTAGATTCAAAGCTGTGTCTGCAAGGATCGAAAGCAAAAAGTTAAACAAATACAACCAAAAAACCATATATCAAGAAAGCAAATCCAGCCCTATGTGCTGAATAGGGTACGTTTTTTAGTATTTGGTCATTTTTGTTATTTCAGTGTTGTTTAGTTTAGGTTTTTGTTTTTTCTTTAGTTACCCCACCTACCTGCTTCAGGTATGCTGGAATTTAGGGAATGTAGAGATTCTATGGAATTTAAGGGTTTAGGTCTAAATTTTTCGTGCTATCACGCGTTATGCGTGATGATGTACCTCTGTTCTCCTCTTGCAGGTTACTCTCAGAGATCATACTCCTGAATGCAAAGGTCTTCTTGTGTACGCGTGTGCAGAACATACCTTATTATTTATCTTAGCCTTAGTCTCAGTCTTCGTTATAGTGTTCACATTGGTCCTGACTTCGTCTTGTTCTTAGTTTTAGCTTTAGTATTGCTAGCATTTGGAGTAGTAGTCTTCAAAATTGTGTCAGTGTGTTAAATTGATTTTTGTGTATGGGTGTTGGTATTAGTATTCATTTTGTTTGCTGGTATTTGTTTAGTATTGCTGTTCGTGTTGGTTAGTGTTACTGTTCGTGTTAGCGTTGGTGTCAATGTTAATGTAGCCTGTGTAGTAACACTAGTATTAGCATACTGATCTTAAAAGATGCATATGTATATACTATGTATTCTGTGATTAACACCTAGTATTAGTAGAATTTTGCAAAACCGTATTGGCTAAAGTATGAGTGTTCATATTGTATTAATATTCGTACAGATTCAATCGCAAGAAGATGAGCATTAGTATCTGTAGGAATATTGATACTTATAGCCATACAAGTATTACGATTTGAATTAGTAGTAATACCAGCATGTGTGTGCATACTGGTATTAGTATTAATATTACAAGCCATGTGAAGATTTGAGTATTCGTAGGAACAGTAGTCTTCATATTAGTGTGGACATTAGTCTGAATATCGGAGTATTAGTACTCATACTTATATCAGCATTAGCGTCCCTGTGTATTACTATTAGTACTATTTTCAAAAACTTATATCAAGATTAATGCTGCTATAAATAGGATTCTTGCATTACTGTTAGTGCTATTTTCAAAAACTTGTATCAAGATTAATGCTAATATGAATCGGATTCTTTATTCGTAGGATCACTAGTTTTACTGCTGTTATTTATGACAACTAGTACTAATACTCATGTACATACATCTTCGTATTAGCCTTATTAGTAGTGTTAATATTAGCATTAAAAGCTATGAGTATCAGTACTGAGAACAGCTAATAAGAATATGCATATCAGCATCCGTGCGAGTATTAAATTATTTTACCATTAGCACTAATTAGTAAGTACATTAGTCTTCCCATTAGTATTGCTCTCAACATGAATATGCTTATTCGACTTCGTACGAACTGAGAATAGCTAATAAGAATATGCGTATCGAATATCCGTAGGGATATTCGTACTTACATGAATTTGCTAGTAGCGTTAGTATTCGCATTAGTATTATCGGTAGTACGTATACAGTTTGTTAGTATTCGTAATAATTGTACTCTTAACATGAACATGATTAGTCGAATTCATGGGAACATTAGTAGTAGGATTAGTATCACTTTTAATGTTAGTGCTCGTAGTACTAGTATTCTAACCAGCTTTTCCCTTAGTAGTACTATGAGTACTAGTACCTGCAAGAGTATGAGGAAACAAACAAACATTAGTTTCAGTATTAGTATTAGAGTATTTTTAATATTAATGTCAAGGTTATTACCAATATGGGGTGTGAATACATCTATTCGCAAGAATAGAAACCTTGGCATTCGTATTTGTGCTAATATTGGTCATTAATCTTCACTGGCCCTGTATATAAGGTCGCGCGCGAAGGTGGACAGCTGTTAGAGGAGCACTAATATTTCTTATGTCAGCGTGTACAAGGTAGACGGTTAATGTTGCACAAGCAGAACTTCTCCGACTGTAGACTCGAGAATCGGCGATACACATTCAGAGGTCGTGAGGGTCAATGGGGGGGCGGGGTTAGCAGATATTTATTATACTGATTGGATACATACCCATACATAGATCCCCAGCTGTGGAAAGGCGTACAGCACGCAGGCAGGCACGGCAGACACTCTTTTATTCATGCAGCATGGTATCTGTGCATGGGTTGGTGCATAAGTACGAGTACATCTACATCTACATCGATATACATACACATGCACACGTACATGTACATCTGCGTCGACATTTACATATGCATGTATGCAGAAACATACCTATATGCATATGCATATGCATACACATACATGCACAGACATACAGACGAATGCAGACCGACATACACACAGGCACACATAGATACATAGGTACATAGATACACAGATACAGAGGTACACACGTTCATACATAGATACCTACGCATACGCACATGCAACATAATGCAATGTGGTGGAGTGCAGTGTAATGTGGGTGTCGGTTTTGGAATATAGGCCCCTTTAATGCGTCGGCTCCGGGGCTAATTCCGAATCTGACAAAAAAATTGGGGTCAACTAATTAATGCGTTTTTTTTTGGCTGGGGTGATTTTTTGGTGGCGGGGCTGTGCTATTTGCTGATGGTCAATCTTAAGGCAGCCACGACCTGAACCCCCACCCAAACCCCCACCCAACCCTAAAACCCTGGCCCTGAAGCCCGAAAATCTCTTGCAGAATTGTTTCGCTTATTGGGGCGTCAGGAATGAAAATCTGTACTACCACTGTACTACTACTGTACTACTATTCTACTATACCTTGATTATTGGGGGGGGCTGCTAGGGTGAACCGCCGAATCGGGGATTGGACCCTAGCTCAAAAGAGGCC